GTTACATGGACGATAGAAATAGGTCTAATAGAAAGCGTGATTAGTTAAAATAAACAAATGAGAGATTTTAAAATTTTAAAATTTTAAAACTGTTAATTTATCTGTAAGTAATTTAAAGGAAACGAAACATTTTTAAATAATTATCTTAAAGTAGAGGAAACTCTTTACACTTTCAGTATAATATACAATATCTATGAAAAATTTTAAGAAAAGCTAAAACGGTAAATCGTTGAACAATAAAAGCAACACAAAATAAAAATAACGATTTATAATAAAAACAACCTATTGTTGTTGAGATGTGAGGCAGCGAAGCGCTGCCTCCTCGCAACCCAGCCATCGCGAAGGACACACCGGGCGTCGGGGATCGCGGGACGATCTCCGGCCACCGTAAGCGCGGGCCTGCGGACGGCGAGCATGGGTGGCTCCCCGTCCGACCAGAAACAGACCCGAGCGTACGGCGCGTCGCGTTCCGCGCGCGCCTCAAAGAGCCATCAGACCACCACAGATGGGGCTCAATAGGGCCGATGCCGATTCAGAGTCGCGGAGAACCTAACGGGTAACCGGGGTTCCGGCTCGACGTGCAGGAGAAGGAACGGGGTGGTTTTTAGTCAGTAAGAGTCTGACACTCCCTTCCGCCTCACCCAGGCGGGAGCAGTCATTCAATGATTTTCCCCCCTGAAAAAAAAAATAAAAAAAAATTGTTGTTGAGATTGTGAAATCAACCGTAACAGAATAATAATACAGTTAATTTTACTCTGTTTAATTTCAAATTGAGGTATCCAGTTGACATATTTGAAAACGCATTCTAAAATAAGGTTGAATAACCTCCAACTCTATTGGCTATTAATGATATTCGAATGTTATTTGAATATTTAAATCAGTGTTCCTATTTCAAAATGCGCAGATTGTGGAATGGTATTAAATATAACGCCAATTTGCATTAATTTTTAAGTTTGTTTATTGTTCTTTATCAAACGACTTATAATCTTATTAAAAAGATTACTTTCAAATAATTATGAGTTAGCAGGTTAGTTTTTGGCATCCCTATTCATACCACAGATGACGTAAGAACCGAAAAAGAAACTCACAATCGACCACGTATCCATTTCATGAATTACGCGGCATTTGATATTCGGTCATAATAATCGTTAACTTTTAAAATATGCCGAAAGTAGTCCATAATATTGGCATGGCGATTCCCTTTGATTATAATTAGCTACGCATTTATTATTTCCCGAAACCAGTAGCATCAAAGCAAGTATTTATAAAGATTCCACGGTGTTGCCAACAAATGGAACAAAAGGACCTACTGTTTTGTAAATATGTAATTGTTTGGGGAAGAATTGATTTCTTAAAATTCTGAAAGTTGTGGAGTACCTATGTATATTTTTGTGATATTCCTAGATGAAGTAAGAATGTAAGTACTTTAGTATGTTTACTGCCTCGTTGGCCGAGTGATCGCGAGCACGATTGCTGGACAAGGAGTTTAGAGTTCGATTCCTGGGTCCGGCAAAGTATTACAGGGTTTTAAAAAAATCTCAGTTGTATCACGGAGTCTGGAATTGTGCCCGGTGTTCATACGGTTATTGTCATCAATAGGCTCACCCTCTATTACATGGGATTAAGTACAGAAAAGTGGATGATGCAACATCCACTTTTGTGTACAGTGGCATTAAGTGCCGTGATGTGCGCCTCTGCCTACTCCGTGACATTAACAACTTAATTTCATCTGATAGAGAGTGAGCCTCTGGTCATACACCAAGGACTTTCTAAACTCCTTGCTAATTGCTGGGGATATATAAAAACCAAAGAGAGGTCAATAACATTTAGTGCGAACTGAGAATTTAACCCTAGACTATTCTACTTTGTCGGCTCTATACAACACAATGATGCTATCATCATTCAGCTCATACCCATGAGCAGCATTTCGCGACCCGCGCCGCGGCGACTGTCGCGCTGCTCATGAATATGAGCCTCTAGCATGGCTTGAAACTAGTCGAGTTCCTCGTCAAATAATTACGTAAGTAAGCCGAAAACATTATAATTTATTTAGTATGTCTCACGAAAGTTACAATACAAAATTAGATTTCATTTGAAATTCATAAATAGATACACCTGTAAAGGTTAATTTCTAGATATTTGAAAGTAAGTTATTTTCGTGGATCAATAATAGAACTTTTGAATTATCTTAGTAACTCTTATTTTTAAATACAATAATGGAATTTTTTGTATTATTTCCTTATCAGTTTAGCCTCGTGTAGGTAGGTTTTGGTAGTCAAGAAGTTACTAATGTATAATCAAGTTATTAAGCCTGGAGCTCCGGCTCGTCGTGTAGGAGAAGGAACAGGGTGGTTTTTAGTCAGTAAGAGTCTGACACTCCCTCTCGCCTCTCCCAGACGGGAGCAGTCATACGATGATTTTTCCCCCTTAAAAAAAGTGACTACCGACATAAAACTGCCGAAGGCAAATCGTCCGCTAACGTAGGTCACCGGTGACCTACGTGGCGGTTAACGTGAAGACTTTCTATATACGTGGTTTTCCCAGTGGGCTACAACATGAGGTTCTTCAAGAGGGCAGTGAATAGGTTTCTTAAGGGTCGGCAAGACGCATGTAATGCCCCAAGTGTCGCAGGCGTATATAGGCCACGGTAACCGCTTACCATCAGGTGGGCCGTGCGCTTTTTTGCCACCGTCGTGGTATAAAAAAATGTACGGAGTGAGCCAAATGCTATAAAATATTTGGCTTTTTTTCATTATTTATTTAGAGGTTTAATTATGCGATTTAAGGGATAATAGGAATTTATAACATAGCTGGAGAAAAGTGGGTGTTCCATTAAATATGTACAGTTTTGAGGATTAAAAATTATGATTATGCATTATGATTTTTTATAAATAGAATTGTCAACATAGATTGACGAGGTGGCACACATACTTCCCGCCCCGATCTCCCTAATCCTCGAATCCCTATCAATCCTTAAATTCCTAATCCCCAAATGGCCAGTAACGCAAAGTGTCTCGGGTGTTTCTGGTGTATATGAGCGGCACAGATTGCTTACCATCAGGTGTTCCGTCTGTTCGTTTACCGGCTTATCCTATAAAAAAAACAAATGAACTGTTTGGATAACGGTGTATTTTTGAATAAGGAACATCGATTCCCAGGAATTTGAAATGCGAAACAAATTATTTGATAATTTTAAGCTAAATTTATCCTCTTCGTTGAACAAACGGTCTAATGCGGCCTACTCGATCGTAGGAATTTTTTACTTTTTGAATAATTAATCATCAATTTTTACCCGTCAATTGAAGCTATATTTAATTTTTATTTTACACGGTACAGTTGAATCAGAATAACGTCAACAGGCAACAGGTGTAAGATTTTCCGTTTAATTGATGGATACACAAAATCATCATCATCACCTATAAATGCCCACTGCTGAGCAAAGCCTCTTCTCGCACGGATAATTGATTTATTTGATTGATCGGCATTAATCGCCGCGCTTGTTCAATGCGAGTTGGCGATTTCAGGTTTTCTCACAATGTTTTCATTCACCTTTTATTAGTGGCATCTAAATAATCTTTCATCGTTTGTCAGTGGTGTCTAAATAATCTTAGCAAGTACATATAACTCGGAAAAAGTCACATTGGTTCTTGCCGTTGGTAGGATTCGAACCGCATTCTCGTGCATGAGAAGCGGGCGACTTAATCCTCCGGGCCACCACGACATAAAATCATTGTATCCTAATCGCCTTATTTACTTCGACTTATAATTTTCCTGCTACAACTTACAATTGGATACTTACCAGTAATTCAAATTTAATACTTTTTTGAACTATCAATAACGACAGTTTAATAACGAGATTGTGTATTGTGACGTCACGTTTTTTTAGTGTCAAACAGAATACTTATTTTTTTAAAATTTGCTGAAAAAATACAAAAATTAAGTTGGTCATAAAATCAATTTATTAAAGTGTGATTATTTTTTTGTATTGAATAATCGAAATAATTTATTTTTGATTAAAAAAATACCCAATTAGGAGTCTGTCACAACATTCAGTAGTACCTCAGAACTTTGATATTTGTTTTTACTATGATGTGATGTAGGTATCGGAAGCTAATGTCAATTTCATACATTTTGATTTGTGACATTCGTATTTGTTTTCGAAGATCAAACGGGATACTCATCTTAAATCAGGAAACACAGAATTCATTTTGTTCTGCCATCTTTATTTTAATTCCGGAGTCAGGAAACGCACAGAAAGCATTTTTAAATCTTTACTAACCATTTCGGGCTTCACTCAGTTGTACAGTCTCTTTTCTTTGTACCTTTAGGCTTAATTCAATCTGTCTCCTGCAGTAATTCACCGAGGGAAGTGGAAACTATCGTTTTTTTTCTCCTCTTATAATATCTTCTGATTCACTTCGTTGCGGGATGCAAGACAGTTACTCATGTCCCTGAACGCGCCGGACTTCAGTGTTCCGGTGTTTTCATATACTACACAGGACTTTGTACGCAACACCATCCCCTATTACTAACCATTGGAATCATAACTATATAATTATAATCAAAAGTGATGGTTATATGTATTTCTTAATCTTGTAGAATTAAAAGCCGTGACCATATTTTAGAGTTTTATTTGATAATCAGCTGCTAGGGCGAAGACGCTGGCAATCCAGTGTCTTCGCCCGCCTTCCCGTGCGACCTATCTACCCCTGTTCAATATTTCATCCCGATACAGTCATTTTAACGTCAAGAAGTAACAAACAAACAAAGTTTCGCATTTGTAATATTAAGTAGGATTAGTTAGATACTAAAGCTAGTCCGAATTGACTGGTTTGTCATTTTTATTTGTTTATAAAAACGTTTTTAAACTGTCAAACACCGCGAGGACACCGGTGACCGCAACATATTGTTCTTTAATTGTGTCTATAATGACGGTACTCAAAAGGTTAAGATCGTTGGTCGAGTTATGTACCTAATGAAGTGTTTTATATTTGTTTCAGAAATAAAAATGGCCCAAATGTACTTAGCTGTCACCGTCGTTGTGTTGTTGGCGATCTCACACGGCGTCAGTGCGAAACGTAAGTACCTAGTTACTAAGCTCAACAATAGGGATGATAGGGTATGAAAATTAAAAATCTAATTAGTCCGTAAGTTAGGTAATGAAAAAATATTAGCCACGTATTTTTTTATTTTATCGTATAATAAAACGAGGTTTAGATAAAACGAATCAAAGTTTAGGAGTGGGGGCTAAAACGTCATTTCTACGTATAAAATGTTCATAGAAGTGACGTCACGCGACATTTCAAATCAATGTATCGTCGAAAGTATTAGTCTCTGTAAGAAAATAAAAAATACGTGTCTAATGATTTAAAATAATCTACCAGACGGACATTAAAATAAAAAATTAGGCATCTACCCTATTGTAAACGGAACGCTCCTCCAAAACGCTGACAGGTGATGGTAAAAAACAAGTTTTATTTTCATAAAGGTAAGGAGGCAAATGTTTCTTTAATGTAATATTTAATATTTATAATCAAATACTCAAGGCTGATGTTGCATGAATAACTCGAATATAATCTTATACTCTTATACTATTATATAAAGCGGAAGAGTTTGTTTTTTTGTTTGTTTGTTTGAGCGCGCTAATCTCAGGAACTACAAGTCTGATTTGAATAGTTCTTTTTGTATTGGAAAGCACATTTATCGATGATGGCTATAGGCTATAAAACATCACGCTACGAAGAATAGGAGCTGAGCAGAGCGCGTAAAACAGCGCGGAAGTAGCTTAAAATAGCAAAAACTATTTCTTTTTGTTTGTGTTTCGTGAGCGTTCCGTAGGTACACCCTATATGGATTTTTATATAAAACTAGCTTTTACCCGCGGCTTCGCTTGCGTCACAAAATGATAAAAGTAGCCTATACCAATACACACAGCGCCATCTATACCAATTCTTTTATTTTCCCTCGGGAATATCGAAATTTTCCGGGATTTAAAGTACCCTATTATTTAATCCGGACTTCTAATTTTACGTCTGCAAAAATTCAGAGCAACCGGTTTAGAAGTTACGGCGTGAAAGCGGAACAAACAAACAAACTTACTTTCCCATTTATAATAGTAAGGATACTTCTTTGTGATGACCTGTATTGGGAAATTGCAAGCTCGAAAAAGTACAAACGCATCTAAATATTTATCATACTGAACTTACTCAAAAAATAAACCATATTATTTGCTCTGTCATAATAGACACTGACTACCCAGCTACCTGTAGCTACGGCTGCATTCTGTAGAGAAGTGTTAGCTGTTTTTTTTTAAGGGGGGAAAATCATCGAATGACTGCTCCCGCCTGGGTGAGGCGGGAGGGAGTATAAGACTCTTACTGACTAAAAACCACCCCGTTCCTTCTCCTGCACGTCGAGCCGGAGCCCCGGTTACCCGTTAGGTTCTACGCGACAAGTGTTAGCTGTAAGCCTTACGACATAAAAATATTTTATTCTAATGCTTAAAGATTTGTAGGAGATATTAGGCAAGGGACGTTACCATAAACGCCTTCAAATAAAAATATACCAATGACATAAACAATTTTTTAACAGTTTTATACTAAAGTTACCATAACGATAACTGGGTCTGTGGTCTGATAATTTTCAATACCATTGACAAACATCTGCCGACTGCCTCATTGGCGGAGCGGTCGCAAGTGCGACTGCCGGGCAAGGGGTCTCGGGTTCGATTCCTGTGTCGGGCAAAGTATTATTGGGTTTTTAAAAAATCTCAGTAGTAGAACGGAGTCTGGAATTGTGCCCGGTATATGGCAATAGGCTCATCCCCTATTACATGGGACTCATAACATAAAATACTGAAAAGCGGGTGTTACATTATACTTATTGTATATTGTATTGGTATTAAGTGCCATAATGTGCACCTCTGCCGACCCCTCCGGGGATAAAAAGCGTGATTTTATGTTATGTTCAACAATCATCTATAACACCTAGACGATAAGCAGTACACTTCTGCATAGTTACTCCAAACGTAGGCTGTACATAAACTTTGAATCAACAATCCTGTTTATTCCTACCACTGAAAAGTAAACAAAATTGTTTAACTTTAACCAATCTTGCCCAACTTGCCGAAATTTGCCCCAAATTAAGGCCCAACTAGGAACAAATGAGTAAAAGTCGCGAAGAAAGTACTTACCATCGTCGAATGTACGTAGAAGTTACGGTTATGATCATAATAATGGTTGTTAACGAGTATACGTTACATTTATGTTACAAAATATCAATATTTGTTCTAAAAAAATAGGCCATAAGCTCTCGTGGTACAATTTTCAGTCTTACGGCTGAAAAGAAAATCCACAATGTGTAGATATTGATTGATTTTTGACATTCATATGAAATCAAGATCAATCCAAAGATTTAAGACTTAAATTGGTTATTAATTTTGGTTTTTAGTAATAGTCAAGTATCAGTTCATGTCAGTATTTTTTTAAAACGCAATGAGAAATGGTTAATATAATGTTCTCGGTCGGATTTTTGGGTTTGTTATTAGTAATAATGAAAACCTAATGTAACAATAATATGAATATAATTAGCAACCTCTTTAGTATGTTTCCTAATTAACTGGCTGTTAAACACGAAAAAATATGAGAAAAAGCCTTTTACGAAACGAAAAAAGAAAAAGATTTGTTCTTTTTTAGTGGCGTCCATAATATTTTTTCGACATAAATGGCCAGTAATTTATAATTTACGCGGTGTTAAGAACTTTTTGCACACAAAAGTTTTATGTTTTTATGGACTAAATACGCTACGTGAATAGTTTTTATACTTATATCGAGGATTTCATAATTTGTTGCCAAATAAAAAAAAAATAACTATAAGCTGAGAAAATCTTCAAAATATATGATGAAAAATGAAAACCACTTGGTCAGAAGTATAACAGTAATATGTCAGCAGGAGAACCGATTTAATGTTGAAGGGGTATCGTAATTGAAGCGAGTTTCTCATAGTCTATGGTACCCTAGAGACTAGCCTGGGAAATGACTTGGCGGGAAAAGAATCCTTTTGAAAATGATAAAAAACAAAATGTTTGTGTGGGAATAGAAAACAAAAATAAGTACTTAAATAATAGACATAATAAATGCAGCTAGGTAAAAAGGGAGTAGAAAAAGAGAACATCAGAAATTCTGTGTAACTACACGTTGTTTTGAAAAAGTGTTCGTGGAAAACAGTTGTTCATTCATTTACTTTTTTAAACGTGAACTCTTTCTAGAAAGTAAAAAATAAACTTTAGCCATAAAATTAACACGTTAAAAGTAACATTGTAATTATGTTTAATTTAAAATAGTAATTTAAATTTTTTTATGTCGTTGTGTTAATAAGAGAGTTGAAAATCGTTTTTGCATTTTATAATTCTATGTTAAAAATATTATTTTAGGTATTGTTGAAATAGCATATTTTTCCTACATTAATTTAAACCAGTTTTTTCGAATTTTTTTTCGAACTTTTTCTTTATTTAAACTGTCAAACACCAAGCGGTCACCGGTGACCGCGACCTATTGTTCTTTAATTGTGTCTATAAAACCGGTACTCGACGAGTTAAAAGAAACATGGCCTTAAACTAGGTCTTTCTAGATTTAGGGCTAGGTAAATTTGAATTTCTCTTATATCGTGGGTTTGTTTACAAACATACAAATTCACGGGTACATCACCCTCAGACCAGAAACAGCAATTTGGGGCTCACGTAAATAGTTGTTTAGCTCGTGAATCGGAACTAAATCACGTTGTTCACGACTACTTGTACAGTCACAGTATCAATTGTATAGTTTAAAACTATACTAAGTCGAAAGTTGATACATAAGTCATTTTTAGGCAACTTGACATACTTCTGTCCCTTTATTTTCTCATACACTTAACTACAACCACAGTAACCTTGCAAACACCTTTTTTTTTGACGGGGCAACATCATCCAATGACTTCTCCCGCCCGGGTGAGGCGGGAGGGAGTGTCAGACTCTTACTGATTGAAAACCACCCCGTTCCTACTCCTGCACTTCGAACCGGAGCCCCGGCAACCCGATAAGTCTTCCGCGGCTCCGTATCGGCATCAGCCCTGTTAGGCCCCATCTGTGGTCTGATGGCTCCTTGAGGCGTGCGCGGAATGCGACGCGCCGTACGCTCGGGCCTGGTTCTGGTCGGGCGGCGAGTCACCCGAGCTCGCCGTCCGCAGGCCCGGGCTTACGGTGGCCGGAGCTCGTCTCGCGATCCCCGACGCCCGGAGTGTCTCTCGCGACGGCCGGGTCGTGAGGAGGTTCGTACCCTCACGTGCTCCGCTGCCTCCTTAGCTACCCTTGCAAACACCTACTAACTAATAATAATAACTCAACTAATTTGGCGTTTACTAACACTCACACGACGGCAGACTATATTGATCGACAGTCATTTGTCAAAATTAGTCTGTCACTTTGACAGCCCACGTACATTTATGTACCTGTAAAGGGCCAAGTTTGCACAGATACAAGTTTGGTACATCTCATGTAATAAGTTCAACAAGTTCATTTTACCTTACCTTGTGTTTTATGTAGGAATGGGATAATTATCATTTAGACATTGTGATTGTTTTAATGGGATAATCTTAGGGCAATAGATTTTAAAAACCTATGACAAAAGCCCGTTTACATCAACCTTTTTAATTTTTTAAATATACATAAGCTAAAATATGATGGTACTCAACACGTTAAACGCTATGGGGTCACCGGTGACTGGCGTTAGCGGAGGATTTACCTTGCATAGATCACCAAATTTGCTAAAAATTCATAGAGATAACATAACATCACGCCTTTTATCCCCGAACGGGTAGTCAGAGCAGAGCACTTAATGGCACTATACAAATAGTGCACTTAAGTGCCGTAATGTCCACCATTACGGTGTTACATTGTTGTAACACCCAGTTTTCACTATTTATGTTATGAGTCCCATGTAATAGCGGGTGGGATTATTGCCATATACCGGGCACAATTCCAGACTCCGTGCTACTACTGTGTAATACTTTACCCGACCCGTTAATCGAACCCGAGAACCATTGC